AATATCAACACCTGCATGCAATATGTGATGCTCAAATCAGGATAACTAGTATATTCAACATTTTATAAGTAATCATTTTTTTGTGGCTTTTTACCAAATTTCTCCCTTACCTCCTTCCTCCTCCCCCTTTTCCATCTCTGGTGACCTCAGTTCTCCTTTTGAAAGTTCAACGAATCATGGTGATTGTTCTTTCAGTCCTTCTTTTCTTTTTTAGCTCCCATTTATGAGTGAGGACATGCCATATTTCTTTCTCTGTTTAGCTTATTTCATTTAACATAACTTTCTCTTAAGTTTATCCATGTTGCTGCAAATGGAAGTATTTCATTATTTTTTATGGCAAAGTAGTATTCCATTGTGTATGTGTACCAGATTTTCCTTATCCAGTTGTCTGACAATGGACACTTATGTTGGTTCCAACTCTTGGCTATTGTAAATAGAGCTCCGATAAACAGGGACTACAGATATCCCTTCAACATGATGATTTCCATTCCTTTGGGTATATACCCAGCAGTGGAATTATTGGGTCATATAGCAGTTCTATCTGTGGTTGTCTGAGGAATCTCCATACCATTTTCCATAATGGCTGCACCAATTTACAGTCCCACCAACAGAGTAGGAGGGTTCCCCTTCCTCTGTATCCTCACCAGCGTTTGTTATTCTCTGTCACTTTGATAATAGCCAGTCTAACTGGGGTGAGATGATATCTCAGTGTGGTTTTGATTTGTATTTCCTTGATGCAGAGTGATGCTGAGTATTTTTTCATTTATCGGTTGGCCATTTGTATATCTCCCTTTGAGAAATGCCTGTTCAGCTCTTTTGCCCATTTTTTAAATAGGGTTGTTTTTTTACTGTTAAGTTTTTTGAGTTTCTTGTATATTCTGGATATTAATCCTTTAACAGATGTATAGTTTGCAAATATTTTCTCCCACTCTGTAGGTTGTCTTTTCGCTCTGTTAATTGTTTCTTTTGCTGTGCAGAGGATTTTCAGTTTGATATAATCCCATTTGCTTATTTTTCCTTTTGTTGCCTGTGCTTTTGAGGTCACATTCATAAAGTCTTTGACCAGTCCTGCTTCCTGAAGTGCTTCCCCTATGCTTTCTTTCAGGAGTTTTATAGTTTCAGGTCTTATATTTAAGTCTTTAATCTATTTTGAGTTGATTTTGGCATATGGCAAGAGGCACATATTTCCCACTTCTTACTCTTAATAGTCCCTGAATTTTATCTGACCATGGCCATCAGCAATAAACTATCTTTCCCAGCAATCCTTGCTCCTAGTTGGGAAGTGGTGTATGCAACTTCCAGTAAACACCCTTAAAAATCAAGGGCTTGCTCTTTTTTGCTTTTCCCCTTTCCTACCAGATGGAGCGGCTATTTTGGACTATGATATGAAAGCTTCATGCTGAGAATGGCAGAACAACAGAATAGGAGGTGCCTGGGTTCCCTGATACTCTCACTGGCCCTAGTCCACCTGCAAAGCTTTTAGATGAAAAAGAAATAAAATTTTACCTTGGATAAGCCATTTTCATTTTGGGTTTTCATTCATTCACAGCTGAACCTAATCCTAGATGGCATAACTATGAGAGAAAAATGAAGGGTTCAATAAGAGATTTTAACAGAAATAGTTGATTTTGACTGGAGGAAGAGGTTTCATGAATAGCTCCTCTGAGGAAGTAATATTCAGTTGTGACATGAAACCTGACTAGAAGAGCACTGGTGAAGGGAGGTAAGTTGGTAAACTGTTCAGGCAACGGAAACTACAGATGTGACTACAATGGCTTGAGCCTGAATTACCACAGGGACAAGCAACAAACTTTGGGATGTTAAGACTGCCTTTGTAAGGAATTAGAATGAAAGCAGAGCACTAAAGCAACTAAGTGCTTTGGCTCCAATATCAGAATATCTGTATTCTGACTAGAAAAAGACCACATACACCTGTCAAAAACAAGGGGATGAGGGTTCCAGGATAAGAATGAAACCTGTTAAAGAAATTAATAGTGGCTTCCACACTTCAACATTACTATTGTTTAAAATAGTTGGATTCTTTGATTAGAATGGTTCATATATCACAAGGAGAATGTCAATAGATTCTTAAATGCTACTATCCCTGAAATAGATAAGAGCTTGGTATTAATTTTTTTTTAATAATGTGTCTGGTTTATTTCTGATTCTAAAAGGGAAACATTTTTTGTGGAAAATTTAGAAAATATACACAAGAATATAAAGAAAAAATAAACCACCTGTAAACTCAGCACCTTCAAACATTTTATACTAACTACAACAAACACAAAAATGGGATTGTAATGCATAAAGTTTTGTGTGCTTTTTCACTTGTTTTATCATAAGCACATTGAAACCATATAATTTACTTAGCCAATCAAGTCTGGGGATTTTCTGAGTTAAAACTGTCAACCACAAATTGAAGCCCTGTAGGTCAAGAAGATCACTTCAAAATCTTCCAGATAGTTTCTATTCAGAAATTTCAAGTTAGTTTGAAAGCACTACAATCTTCCAACCAAGAATTCCATAAAATACACTGAGTTTTAGCCATGAAGGATGCTCACTAAAGACCATGTTTTCCCAAATGGACCACATTATTACAGAATTAGTCTTTAGGAAGAAATTGAATAAGCATCAAATACTGAGGTGGCAATTACAACTGAGAACTAATAAGTATCTACTATAAAACTTAGTGAATATATGCAATTTTTTTTAAGAAACGAAATAAGATAATATATGCATCTATTGTATTTTTAAGTTTTCAAATGGATATTGAAAAATGATTATAGGAAAATGCATATAAAAAAGGATAAATGTAAATATGACAATATGAAATACATTAGTCTTTGAACTGTTCTGTATTTTAAATTTTTGTCACAATAAAAAATTAATGTTAAATTAAAATATTAGTCACATGAGTAAGATAATTCAGATTTTAGTTACTAAAGTGAAAGGAAAGTCAGTAAGTTGTGCCAGAAGCTAAGTGGATCTTTTGAGAAAGAAAAACAAAAAGTTGAGTATACAACATTAGGAAGTTGTTCTGAAATAAAACTATTTTAAATTAAATAGCAATGTTCCATGTTGGATATAAGCCTGAGGAAGGATCAGCTTTTGAACTTTATAGCTGTGCTTCCTTCAAATACTATTCTACCTAGAAATATTTTTTTTGTTCCATCAAGAAGGTTGTTTTAACAGTTAAGCAAATACTAAAAAAACTTCAAGACTGTATTTCAGTTTCTAACTCTAGTTTTCTTTATTTTGTATACTTAAGGTCTTCCTGATAATAGACATTTTTTAAAATTCCAGTTTCTAAAATCCAGATGTATTTCAGATGACAATTAGAATCAGTTAGTAGATGAAATGCCTTATTTAACACAGAAAGTTGCAGTTTTATATTAAGTGAGGTCCCTAGCAGAAAAAAATAAAGAATAAACAGTTACAGAATAAACCACATCTTTACATTTGTTTTCACAAACAAAAATTTCAAATAAATGTAAATTTTTAAAAATTGTCCCATTTTCCCCAAATGCAGCCTTAGGCTGTCTTAACTTTGTGATACCAGCCCCCACTCCCTACTCCACTAATCAGTTCTCACCTTCTTTCCCTGCTGGAACACGTGAATTTTTCAGCAAAAGTGACTCACTCACTGGCATCTTGTCAAACTAACCCTGAAACTATAAGGAGGCTCAACGCTAACAGAATTCTAAAGCTAGAACTCTTTCACTAACACACATCATTTTGACTTTAGGGAACTAAATCACATTCAGAGCCAGATACATACTAACACACTCTGTTTATGTTTTTCCTTACAAATTGTCCTCCACCATCCCACCTCCTCCCAATTTTAGTTTGGCAATTCCCTAATCTAAAATTACCTCCTGTTTGTGGAGAAGACAAGATGGAGAAGCACAAGAATAGGAGGGTGGAGTAAAAAGCAATTGTTCACTCAGCTTGGAAGAAGATTCTATTCTGAAACATTAACGACTCATATCTATTCCATATAGTTCTTCAAGTTTATTTCTCCCACAGTTAAACGAAAACACAACACAAACACAATCAGAAATCTCCAGGAATAGATTACTTTCACTGCTATTATCTCACTAAATAAAAGTTTAACAAACAACATAAAAATAAGTTATTGAGAACTATTTAGTCAAAATTCTTCAATAAGATGTCACTAGCATGAACTATCAATTGCAAATCACCTTATCCTTTTGGTTGGCACATTCACCTACTTGGAAAAAGATAATCACGCTTTTTAACCAGAGAAAGAGTGGTGGAGAAGGAACAAAAAAACAAATGCTCTGTCAGACTACCATAGACATTTACTTATAGCTTTATCGATTGTCACACTCCACCTGGTGGCAGGAGCTGTCAAAAATGGTGAAGTTGAGGTCATTATACAAAAAATTCTGAAGAACAGTCTCTAGATGTTCTTGGAAAAAATGCAAGATACTCTTCTCTTGCCTTATATGGAATAAGTCTAACAAGGTTCCACCAAAGTTTATTCACATAATAGTAGGTCAATATCTAATAAAGATTAACCAAAAGGTATGATAATACTTAGAATCGAAGACCTACATTTAAAGCAATCTACTTAGAACTGTTCTCTCCACAGTAAGTTAAATGTCAGCTCAAGCCTTTAAAACAAGTAGCAAGGAACATACAGTAGTTATAAGATTCTCTATCACATCCTCCCACTAACTTTCTTTAGCCCTTTCCCCTATGGGTAAACTATAGAGTTTAATTAACACAGTTAACATCAGCCTGCCACATTGCTTTTAGATATTTGCCTGTAACATATACCCATGGGATACTCTGGAGACTGATTTCAACCAAAAATAAAAATAGATAAACAGAGCTCAAACAAAATTAAAACTAAGTCTGGCTGCCCACACTTATTTTCACACATGAGGAAAAATAGCAGTTCTCTTAGAAGCCTCTAGCAGACATATCTTTAGAACACAATGTTAAAAAATATGCCCCCCCCCCCTTCCCCCTACCTGTTTCTCACTCAAAGCTGTGATTTTGGCTTGGAGTTCATGAAGCTGTTTCTTTAAGTCAGCATTCTGATTGGAAAGAAAAAATATCTGTGAGAAAGATATTTCATTTGTTAACAGAATAGTAGCAAGAACACTATGCATACTGTATTACAAATGATGAAGTAACCTTAAACATTTAGCCAATCAAATTTGTCATGCATTAAATTGTAGTTAGAATATCACCACCTAACGCATACATCCTAAATGTAGGCTCCTAGCACCAGAGCAGGGAGGGGCAGCTTCTTTGCAATTGTTTTAAATTACAAGAAGTTCTGTATTTTAGCATCTTGTACTATAACAGTACTTGTCTACTAAAATATTATTTATTATTCTTTTTTTTTTCCTTTTTGTCTTTTTTCGTGACCGGCAACGGATTGCAACCCTCAGTGTCGTGCCCGTACCGGACCAGGACTGGCAACGGGATCGCAACCCTCGCTCAGCCAGTGAGCGGCCGGTCCGTATTTGGGATCCGAACCCTCGGCGGGAGCGCCGCAGCACTCCCAAGCGGCGCACTGTAGCAGTGCGCCACCAGGCCAGCCCCATATTTATTATTCTTTATAGAAAGTATCAGTTGACAGAAAACCTAAAGCTCCAGTAATCAGACAAAAGTAGGAAAATGGAGGTTGTAAATACGCATACACTGCATGCTTAGCAGCATTATCAACAAAGATAAGAGGTTTTTCTCTACTTGCCCTCTCCCTTAGTTAGTAAAGTACATTTGTTATTTTAGCCTAGATTTGAAAAGCTGTCAGTACTGCAACTGCCTTAACACTACATCATTCAAATGAACACACTGACTACCAGGGCATTTTCTCAGTTCTCAAATTCTAGGAATCAAAAAAATAATACTATTTTAGATGAGATACACTGAGACACTGACTACCAGGGCATTTTCTCAGTTCTCAAATTCTAGGAATCAAAAAAATAATACTATTTTAGATGAGATACACTGAGAATGCTTGCCTTTTACTCAGTGTGGGGGGGGGGGGGGGGGAATCCAAAATTACAGTTTTCAAATGCTTAATGTAGCAGGACAGCCTACTAGCAGACTGAACACCACCCCAATGAAAAACTAACTTTTACTTGATCATTTCATATACAATTCTTTTGATTTACCCTGCCTGGTCTTCTGTCAGGGTTGGGGCACACATTCTCTCCCTTTACTGAGTTTCGCATTTACTCCATTTGGACATTTTTATAAGTGTATTTGATATAAGTCTTCTCTAATGAGATCATCCACAGTGCAGTCCAATAACTGACTGCCCCCTCAGACTCTTCAGGTTAACACTATTCTGTTACATGACACCAACTATATCAGAAATGCTAGTTCCTAAATAATATTTCAGTTGCTGATAATGTAGGTTACCACATTAAATATGAAAGAATCTACTAATCTAAGATCTACCACCTCTTGGTTCTCTAAGTCCAATTTAAATTGTAAATACACCGAACAAAAAATCAAAAATGAGAAATTCCTCATGGAAGTTGGACTGCTGAACTGCCAATGTCGACTCTCATAGTCAATGGATTATGTCAAGACAGAGTTAGACCATTGAATCCTACATTTGTAGAGATGAATATTTTTTTCCACTTCCAAAAATAAATCTGCCTCAGTACCATTCTTCAATCCAATAATTTATTTTACAATGAGGCACGTATGATATGTTTAACAACCAGATATATATAGATGTGTCTGAAAATACTCTCCATACTTATGACAAATTGTCTAATGGTTGCAAAAGAAATACTGCCTGAATAATAAATACAATCATCAGAAGGTAAGATAACTTTTTAGGAAGATTTCTCTTCAGGAATAGAGAATACAATGCCCAAGTCAAAAACTCCTACAAGAATTTAAAGAAAAGTTAACATTTCTGGATTATTGTAATACAGTACTTTTTAAACCTTTAAGGGTTCTTTCAGAAATAACATTTTCTAAAATGCTTTTTAAAATTTATTCTAAAATACTTACCTTGAACACAGTAAATTTCAGTATTCAAATGCTCTGTACTATAAACTCCAAGTAAATAAGAATGGTTTCAGGCCACTTTCATTAATTTTGAGACTACAGAAAGCTTCACATATTCTGATTGTGCATAAGTGGGTTTATGGAAATGAAATTTAGGCTATACAAAGAGTATGAGCTCTCAATTTTTTTCCCCCAAAATACAGCAATTAACATAAAAGCAAAATATTAGTAACAAAAATGAAATGACAGTGACATAGTAATAGAATTAGAGGATTTTTCTTAACCTTTAAAACCTGAAGACCAATGCGCTAAAAACAATTATTGCTAGGGATGAAACAGTACTTTAAGCTTAAGTACCATCTATATTTTAATATCTTATGGTCATCTTATTTTATTTTTTAACCTAAAGATTAAATTAATAACAATAGTATTTTACCTGTGGATCCTGCTTCATTTGAGCAACCAGTTTCTGGAAATAAAGAGGGAAAGAGAGCCATCAGTTTTACATATTAACACCCTACAGCTAATCAGGTTTAGCCCAAAAAATCAAGGGTTTTAAGTCAACACAAAAAAATGAGCAACCCCACAAGCAGAACAGACCAAAAGCTTCTGTGATCCATGTACTGCGGGGCGGGAAAGAAGGCTAATGAGGCACTCCTTTTAATAGAAAAAAAACCAAACTACCACTTTATATTTAAAATGAAAAAGTGCCTGATTTTTAAATATGGAGACAGGGATGGGGGACAGTGGCTTTCAAAAGGCAATTTAAACAAGTTGGATGCTCCAAAAGCTAAACGTCCCTTTAAAAAGTTGCCACTGTCTAGAGTCCCAAACAAGGCCTGGAAAGAAGCTGCTCCCATACAAAACGGACTTATTTATATAAAGCAAAGTACGAATTTAAAGCAAAGAACCACACCAGGTCTGTTGGTGTGGTTCTTGCCACACATGGAGGCTAGTATAAGATGTGACTTTGCCACTGTTTTCTCTCAAAGAAGGAGAGGGTGCGGAGGAGGTTATGTTCAGTGGATCAGTGATGCTCAGTATTTAAGAACAAGGAAGTGGAAGAAGAGTTCAAAAGTCTACCTAACTGGGTTCCTCTGGGAAAGAGAATGCTAACCCAATACTGAATGACAAAGACCTTTATTAGGCAAAACAGAAGCCCAAACAAATACAAAACAAAGGAAAATGAATGTCATTTGACCTAACCCAACTTTTAAAAACATTGCTGCCCAAAGGTAACAATAATCACCGAAAGAAATATTTCAAGGATAAAGGAATATCAGAAAGCTGATTCCTAAAAGTATCTGGAAATAAGCTGTTCTCCAAGTGAACTTTTCATATAACAGAAAAATCTATTACTCTTTTTGATAAGGTTCTTCTAAATTGTTTAGTCGTAAAATAAAATCCATCTAAAATGTATACTTATTGGGCCGGCCCGGTGGCGCACTGCTACAGTGCGCCGCTTGGGAAGCGCGGCGGTGCTCCCGCCGAGGGTTCGGATCCCACATACAGACCGGCCGCTCACTGGCTGAGCGAGGGGAGGACGCAACACCGAGGGTTGCGATCCCGTTGCCGGTCCCAGTCCGGTACGGGCGCGACACTGAGGGTTGCGATCCGTTGCCGGTCACGAAAAAAGACAAAAAGGAAAAAAAATAAAAAATAAAATGTACACTTATTTATCTTCTTAAATAGAAAAAAAGTCAAATTTTTACTGATACTTAGAAGCATGATTATTTCAATTACTATACTACACTATACTACAAACAACACATCAGATCCTTACAATAAAAGGCCCAAAACTGCTATGTTTTAAAAAGTTCTTATGTCTGCATTCTAGTTTTTCAGTCTACTCCTTAATGTCAAGCCGTCAGCTACCAAATCTTGCTACTATTACAGTGCCTCCCTCTAATAATCCCTGAACTCCAACTTAAATGTTGTTGCTTCTGATCTGCTGTGTGATACACTCACAGGACTAAGATGAATAAGTTGTAATAAAATAAGAAATCCCCCTTGAGTAAAACGTACAATCTTTGGTGAATGACTTTTGACATTTATCCTAAACGGTCAAAAGCCTTTCTTTCTGGTGCTAAGACACATTCTGGATGGCTGAGGTTACAAACTATGTGACCTACAGATACACAAGATGTATGTCGTTATATTCTACTTCATATCTGACAGTAGTAACTCTTCTATATTCTAGTCTCAATCTACAAAATAGTAATGACACATATTCTAAGAGTTCGATGGAATTTTTAACACAAGGTTTTATATACTTTTACTAATGTATTGAAGTCATACTCTATTTTATACATTTTTACTAATGTATTATAGCCATACTGTATTTTACTGTTATAATATAGCCATACTTTACAATAAAAAAACTGCTTTATTTTCCTTTTCAATTTGGTTACTTTCCTTTTTGGTGGCTGGCCAGTATGGGGATCTGAACCCTTGACCATGGTGTTACAAGGCTGTGCTCTAACCAACTGAGCTAACTGGTCAGCCCCACTGGTTGCATTTTTGAAGCTGAAGAAGATTTTCTTCCATGACAATGGAATTTAAAAACTGATAACCACACCATGTCCCCACCTCTGGGGAAAAACTAGGCAACTTACTAGACCATCCAAACCCCTTGTGACTTTAAGGTGACGTTGTGGTATCAAATTTAAATTACTTTCTACTGCAAGAATGCAGCAATTTTTCTTAAGAATATACCTTTTGCCAAGGATAAGCAAACGACAGCCTATAGGCCAAATCCAGGTCACCACCTGTTTCTATAAGTAAAGTTTTATGGAACACAGCCACGCCCATTCATTTATATATTATCTGTGGCTGTTTTGTCTGTACAACATCAGAGCAGAGTAGTTGTGACAGAGATTATAAATGACCTGCAAAGCCTAAAATGTTATATTATCTTGCCCTTTACAGAAAAAGTTTGCTAATCTCTGCTTTATACTATTCTCCATCCCATATGGAGTAAATATTCTAAAAGTTTCAATATGACTTCCATCAAATCCACATAAGAAAAATCAAAGAAGGGAGGGGGAAAAAAGGTGATTTCCCCTGAAAAGATTATATGTCCATTATTATTTAAATATTTACTGAATATCAACTATGTGTACATCACTACTTTCTTAACCATCTTCCCAACGTTTTCTATCCAGTAAGCTCGATTTCAGCCATAATTTCATTCCCTGATGGAAATACAGCAAAGGGTGGCTTTTGCCCCAATATGTAGTCAAATATATGTTCTGGCTTTGGTCTCATCTTAATAACCAATGACCCTACTCTAATGCCATTTCCGACATCTCAACTTGTCGTGATCAATAATCGTGAAGGTTACCCCATATCTAATCAGAATAACAACATCCGTTTTATGCACAAGACATGTCATTTGGATTTACTGTTAATAACTCGTTTTGTTTTTCAAAAATAAGAAAGCATTACAGATGTAACAGGACTGAACTATCTTATATGATTTATATATTAAAATATTACTAATTATTACTAATTAACATAAATGTTTATTATTGCACAAACAAAATGTGTAATAATTAAGGATGGATGTAAAAGCTATTAGTTTTATGCTTAAAATAAATAGTTAAATATGCAGGGAAACAAACAGTTAATATAAATATTAAGAGTGTTTAGCATAACTGTAGAAAGAAACTATATACCTTTTGAGTCAAGAAATGTAAATTCAAAATTTTCATTGGATTTAAAAACATAATAATAAAGATTAAATTTTCTTCATAATTATTATGTTTATAAAATTGGTATGCTTGAATTTAAAATATGAAACAAAATAATATTTATGAACTCTAATTTAACAATTAAGTTCAATTTAGGTCATAAGTCTTTCAAGAAAGGCTTATTTGGTACTTGTTCATATTTTGTGAGGAAGAACTAGACACAGAACATTAAGTTTTTCTTTGAGAGAAAGAGAAACTCAAAAAAATCATATATAACATCATAAAATTATCATGATCCACACAGATTTCAGATTGATTACTGTACTCCCCAAATTCATCTTATGATGATGTCATCTTTGAACAAATCGTGAATTTAACTTTTGTTACCTGCCATGCAACCAGACTGAGTATTCGACACACCTCTACCTTAAAATTCTTTCACCCAGGAAAAAGACAAGCTTGATTTTGTAAACAAATTTTTACTCTCTTCATTTAGTACCAGACATAAGGCCAAGTAAAATAAAATGTGCCAACTTAACTATATATGAAAAGCAGCTCACCTATGCAAGGCAAACTCTGCTGCTAAGCAAGAGTTTAACAAGATCCAAAGCAGCAGCAGGGATTTATGAACATATAGAGACTATATGTGCCTTTGAAGCTTCCTATAAAAGTTCTCATCCACACTAATTCTGGGCAATGTTACAATCTAGTAGTTAACAAAAGCCCAAGGTATTCTTCAAACAATTTCAGAAATTAATGTTACATTAGAACAATCGCATAAAACCAGGGAAACTTTATTTAAGGACACCTTTAAAAATTATTTTTCTTCTCCTCTCCACTCCTGAATCCACAATTGTTATAATTCAAAAGTAGTCAATTCATTATCATTTATCACTTTTGAGTACCAAGGATTATATATATGTATTTGTGTCTTGAGCCTAATGTCCAGCTAATGCCTAGAAAACAGACATATTCTGTTTACATAAAAATGTTAATGATTTAGTTACTTAAGGATAGCTTTTGTCTTGACTATAGTTATATATATTTATTTTCATATATATACATTTAATATTTTGATATATTTTATTAATATTATTATAGTATAAAATAATATATAAATATATTTATAATATATTTTATTTATATATACATTTTTATAGTTATATATTTAAAGGTCTGTTTAGTCTAGGAACCTGAGGTAAAATATACAAGTTGTGAAATTTTAAATTTAAACATCTATGAAGATAATCACATTTTCTTTACTAAAGACTGGCATTAAGGCATAAAGCTGAGTCATATGATAAGTAAAAACTTTAGTATATATGGTAGTTTAGTTAAACATCTCATTATTAAAACATGCAAGTTAAATCACAAGAACAAAGTCCTTCAGATATACAAAAGAAAAGAAAAAAGGAGAGTTTTTTAAAACACTTTTGGCATATGAAAAAAACATTTTCAGTTTTTTCCTCTGGAAAGGAAGTCAGGAATATTTTACTAAAGTTCTTAAAAGTAGTATCAATGAGTTTGTTGAGGAGTGACAAAAAGCAAATGACATAACTACTGGGCAACTGTCTTAAGGACGATTAAAAGCTGTACCAAAAACCAGAGATGGGCCTGTTTACTAATCTCAGCCATTACTTAATAACATGATGTGGGAGAAACCAATAATGCAACATACCTGGTGAACTTGAATTTCCACTTTAAGAGCCTCCTGTAGAGTCTGCAACTCCATCCTCTACCTTCTCCACTTTCTCTTTTGTCTGCTAATTCTATAGTTTCTTCAGCCTCCGTTTAAAATAACAAACTCCTCTTCTCGCTGCAGCTGTACAGATCATAAAACGTTTTGGATCATTATGTTGGGAATAAAAAAAATTTGTTAAATAAAATAAAATATGTTAGTCAAAAAATATTTGATTCTCTAACACACTACAAGAAATTTTCCCAGATTTTTTTCCAAAACAATTCAGGACCAAAATTTTCTGGATTTTATTCTTAAAGTATTCCTCTACAGAACACTTCAAATAACTCAGAAATGAATAACAAAAAAAAAGGGGGGGTTTAATCTGATCATAGAAACATCTAAACACCTACTACATGCCCAGCACTGTATTACATACTACATACTTAGGATACGGACTGAACAAGAGCACTTCTGCCCTATATGAGAGTCTAGTCAGTGAGACTACAACCATCCAGGACACACTGTTCTTAGGAAGAGACATAAAACAACGTGGTCATACATTTTTAAACATCACAGAGTGGACTGGAGAGTTCAGGGTCTCTGAGAGGTTAAAGAATGCCAGGGTACTTTCATTTGGATGGGCTCTTACTCAATTTAAAAAATAAAGAAACCCTAAATAGGAAGGGATTCTGGTTTAATTTAAACGTTTACTTTTAACAAATTAATATTCAACACAAATATAATGCGTGTAACTGTTCTATCCACAAAGTTATGACAGGGATATTAAAAAATAAATCTATCGTGTGTAACATATGAGGTAGTCTAGTAATGGAACACATTTCTGGCTTTACAATGAACATCATCCTCTTTTCAAGCTTGCTAGTCCATCTCCTTAACTATATGTATAACTGCATGTGGACATAATGTTAAAAGTTTAAATTTGTGAACGTGAATGTGACACCCAGCCTGCCCTTCCTATCCTTCCCTCTGCTCAACACTACTACAATTTAAATTAACTCAATAGCTAATTTCACTTTTAATTTTTTTTTTTCTTGAATGTGGCCTTAGGTATTCTGCCAAAGAAAAATCTATTTTTGCCTGAATAAATTTAAATTTTACTTCAAGCCTCTTTTCTTCTTTGCACCTATACAACTTGTAGCTAGAGGAGCTTTTCAGCACTCATACAAACTGAGGAAGGGAACAACGAGAAAGCTAGAAGAGCCACTACTATTCCTTAAACCAATACAATGAGATGCATGATCTTCACACTTTCTAAAATATTATTTACCTACAGATAAAGTCCATATCCAACCTAAGTTATCTAAAAGTCCTTTGAAAACTGATTTAACAGGGTTACAGTGGAATCGTTAGCTACAGAATGTATTCTTGTGAATATTAGTTTTCATTATATTTGCTTAACCTCACTAGCTTTAAAACATCAATGGCAATCTCTCCTCTAGGGCCTTATGTTATGTTGGGTAATATCAAAATACCCTAACCTAAAAAGGAATAAATTCCAAAAGCGCAAAATTTACATTTGTGGAGGGTAGGAGAGGTTTACTGTACAGTAATACTGTTAAGCAAAAAACCTCAGGACAGCAATGTATTTAGGGAGATAATTTGGAAAAGGAGACATATTTTGATGAACAAACCTAGGTATTTCAGCTACTTATTATATTAAAAAATGTTTGGAACTATAATCAATCAATCAATAAATATCAGAATCATTAAGAAGTTACTGACTTGGACCAAGATTTTTGTTGTCATATATGCTTATTCTATATGCAATAGCAAATGTTAAAGCTACACAATCGCTTTAATTTTAAATATTAAAATAACTTCCCTATTCAAATTTGTGATTTATGTATCACAGTTCTTCTTGAAAACAGTACTTGGTTTTAATTTTCAAGACTCTACCAGAAAATGTGTCCAAAAATGATTCCTTATAATTATTGTCAAATCAAGAATCAACTTGAGGGCTGGCCCGGTGGCGCACTGCTACAGTGCACTGCTTGGGAGCGCGGCGGTGCTCCCGCCAAGGGTTCGGATCCCACATACAGACCGGCCGCTCACTGGCTGAGCGAGGTGTGGGCGCAACACCGAGGGTTGCGATCCCGTTGCCGGTCCCGGTCCGGTACGGGCGCGACACTGAGGGTTGCGATCCGTAGCCGGTCACGAAAAAAGACAAAAAGGAAAAAAAAAAAAAAAAAAGAATCAACTTGAAGTTGAAAGGATATTTTCAAAAACAGAAAGGCTGGTAGTAACATTAAACACCATAGCTCACCTCAATTCAACCCACCAAAAGCTCTGGAAACAAATGGCAGGTTAAAAACATGGAGAACTTACAAATACATGACAAAGGGTTGATATAGTTTACAGAGTTAGGGTTCTCACAAGTTAATAATGAAAACCTATGAAAAAGTAACTCATAGAAGAAAAAATAAGAATGGCCAACAAATATGAAAAACATCCATCTTGAATAGAGTCACAGAAATGTAAATTTTAAGAAGATAAGTTTTGTCTATCAAACTGAAGAAGATTTGTAAAAACAGTAATACCCTGAACTATCTAGAGTCTGTGTCAGGTGGCACTTCATAATTGTTGATGGTTATCTTTGGGTGGTAGCACTGAGTTATTTACTTCCTTCTTTGGGAGATATCAATATTTTCAAAATTTTCCATAGAAAATATGCACTTCTTTTTAAATAAGAAAAAAATTAACTGAGGATCAGAATTTTATACTGATCAAACAAAATGCTCAGGAAAAGAAAAAATAAAACTGGGGGTTAACCTGGAGACTCTAAATGTCAAACAGTGCTTTGCACAGTAATAAGCCTGCAACTCAAGTTAACGAGGAGCTGACAGCTTTTACTTCCTCCATCAGATTGTTGTCTGCTTATTAGAGATACACAAAGGCATGAAGTTTTATTTGGCAAGGACTCTAAATGCCAATTACTAATTTTATTTCAAAATAAAACTGAAGGGTTAAAAAAGATAGTGTGTAGTTACAGAAAAATTTATGAAGGATTAGAAGATTCTTTTGAAATCCTCCTTCAGAAAGGTCTCTTTCTGAACAGCAATTTTAAGAGATTGATCTCTGCCTAAAGGAACAAATCATATACATACATTTATAGTTTACAAAAACAAGCCATGCACATGTTGAATCCTTTTAAAAAATATTTTGGAGTTTTAGACAACTCATGAAGCCATCATCTGAATACTACTTGGGGGCAGTTTATAGCATCAAAAGAAGGCATTATTTGCTAAATTTGTAAAAGATGATTTATCATATTGTGAACAATTCTAATAAGCTATAAATAACAAATCAGTTGCTGCGAGGTGAATATAACAGCGTCACAAAACAACAATAGACACAATTTATTCAGGTATAATGTCTTTCAGCACCTACAGCTCTATACACTCCTATCAGTGAGGACACTTGCCTGGCACAAAATACCAATGTTTGCAATTCTCTAAACTATACATGTCAAACCACTGGGATAACTAATGGCCTCTTACCTTCAAATAACAAAAAAAGAAATACAAAATCAAACACATGAATAAAAACCCCACAAACCAAACAAACAAAATGAAAAATCAAATTCTACTAAAAAAAGCAGCTGTGATATCGGGAAAGAACATTCACTGCCCCCCCCCCCCAACTAATTCCATTTACTCACTCTGTGACTACTCTCATCCTCATGGTTGGTTTGCTTGCTTGTCAATCAAGACAATGCAAACAGTATCACCTACTTCATAAGACTGTTATGAGGTTTAACTAAGACAAAGTTATATGAAAAGCCCTTTGTAAACTGTAAAGTTTTATGCTATTCTCAACATACTTAACTCTTTTCTTCATACTCACAAGCTTTTGTATAAAACTTCTAAACACAGTATATTTCTAGAAGACTGTACAGGCTTTTCTATTCTCAAATTCTCTAAGAAAGTGGCTTCTAACTATTTTTCTGGTTATACTTCTGCTTGGAAATATGTGACCTCTAGGTCTTTTATTATGATTCCAGTAACTTGCAAGAAAGCTATAACTCTGATTTTACTGCTAAGAAATATTTTGCTGTTACTGAATTGACATAAGCCTTTTCTAATCAAAACTTGACTCATCAAACAACAGTTACTTTAATGATAAGTCCATGACAGTGTGCCCCCAGACTGTCCCTAAAAACGGACAGCTCCATGCTCTCCATGCCCTGCATTTATTTGGTGAAACTCTTCTGTTTCTGATTTATATTCTCAGACACAGTATTTAATTAATTTTTTAAAATAAGAAAAAGTAGAAAGTCTTGATAGAGCTATATATCCTTACTTCTTGTCCCATGCCTAATATTCAAATATCCAGATTTCAATTTGTACAAAATACTTATTTCTTACTATGTATCTAACATGTAGGGAGATAAAATATCTTTATTAACTAATAGTGCTAAAAATTACCATGTGTGAGAAAAATAATAAAATATTTTAATACTATTTAAAAAGTTCACATTTATTAACATGAATCAGTAGAAATGACACTTTAAAAACTCAATGTAATTTTTTTTTTTTATCATTTAGCAAATTTTTTTTTTTTTTTGGCGGCTGGCAGGTATGGGAATCTGAACCCTTGACCTTTGTGTTGTCAGTACCACACACTACCAACTGAGCCAGCCCACTTTAGCAAATTTCTAACACATTTCGATTTATTTTCATGATGGTATTTCTTTGGTGACACTCCACAGGTCAAACGAAAATGCTACTACACAAAGAGCTTGGCAACCCTGATTTTAGAGGCTACCCTTTAAATCTGGCAAGGTTACTATGCTCAAACCCTGGAAGGAGAGCTGTTGACAAAAATCAGCTTAGCTAGCTAGATCCCAAACTATTAAATTAAATGTAATAGCTAATGTTATTTCCTAACTATTAAATGATGCTTCCTAACTATTAAATTTTAAAATATATATAAGCATACACATATAATCTGATTTATGATATCTGAATGTCTGAATGTGTCTGAGTATAAAATATATATTTTTCCCTTCTCTATCTTTCTGGGAGGAGGGCAGGTCCTCACTTTAAAGAAAGGAATACCTACACCTACACAGGTCATGTCACTGCAACGCAAGGACTTTTGTGGTGCTCTAGGTCAGGCCAGGGTTTGCCCACAGCACTCTCTCCTTTAAGGTCTGCGGCAGTGTCTGCCATCTCCCCCTATCATCAGTGCTCATCCCAATGTACAGTTTCTACCTCAGCTTCCTGGGACTTCCTGTCTGCACACACATTCTTCTATTTCCCACCTTTGCTTACAGAACTCAAGCATGTCTACTAAAATTATCCCAAATGCACTCAACAACAGTAACATTGAAGTAAATTTAAAATTCACAGAAATTCAAAATGAAGGAGGCTGAGGAGTAGTGTATAAGAGCATAGCGACAATGAGGCCAAGATTTTAGAATTGGTTGCCACATTTACCAGATGCTATTTAATGAAAAAAAGAAAAAAAACAAAAAACAACAACCGTCCAGACAAGCCTGGCCAGAATCTTATAAAATATATACTGCAAAAAGGATAACACAAGAGGGTGTGGTGGTCTCAGCATAACCAATAAATAATAGAAGTGGAAGTTATAGGAGATAGATTTCAGATCAAATAAGGAAGAACTAAGGATTAGAGCTGTACAAAAAAGGAATGGGTTACCTTATGAGGTAGTGGGCTCCCTGTCATTAGAAGTATTCAAGAATGCTGCATATCATATCCCCCTCTTGGAGATTCACAATGCACATTAGCATATTAAAGGTTCTGAGAAGTCCTGTAGTAAAGAAACCTGTTTAACTTTGTTTAATGCAGCATTTCCCAAATTATTTGACCACAGAACCCTTTTCCCACCCTCCGCTCCCCGTTGATAATATTTATTCAGTTTCTGTGGAACTAAAGTTCCTCAGAATACATTACAGAAAATAATGAGCTACGGGTTTTTTTAAATGTAGTATTCAATATGTACCTGAATAACAACCTGTCAGGGATATGAGAGAAGAAATTGCCACACAGGATAAAAGCTTGGAAGAGAAGGCCCTTAAAGTCCCTTCTCTAACATTCTATGCTTCTATCACATCTCAAAGTAAAGGGCTACAGGACCTGGATTATTTATTTTAAAAGGTTCCATAAGAGAAAGGCAAGTAGAATAAAAAGGTAGTAAAATGCAAGGTTAAACAGTTCGAGTGCCTGCCTTTCATGTTAAAAGCCCAATCCCTAAAGATAAGACAGACACCTCAAGGACCATAAATTACCAAAAAAATCCTTAACCAAATATCTTCTATATGTATTCCACCCACTAAGTTAATTACTATTTGAGAGAGAGGATTAAAAAAAAAGTTGTACCTTTCCTTTAGGGGACTACCTTCCTCCAGCTATCTTGTTTGAGTGTAATTTTTTTCATAATACACCCTATCCAAATAAAGTTAATATCTGTTTATGCTTAGTCACTGCCCTGTGTAATCTGTGATCTTGAATTGGACATTTAAAGAAATGATTAAGTGTAACGATTTATAAAACACTTTAAAAATCTATTAAAGCATTTCTCTCTCTCTTTTTAGTTTTTCTTCTTTAAGAATTATACAAAACAACACACACTAAAAATGTAACATCGGACATGAAGCCAATCCAATATTAAGTTTAAGAATATAAACGTTTGGGCCGGCCCGGTGGCGCACTGCTACAGTGCGCCGCTTGGGAGTGCGGCGGCGCTCCCGCCAAGGGTTCGGAACCCACATACAGACCGGTTCCCACTCACTGGCTGAGCGAGGGGCGGGCACAGCACCGAGGGTTGCGATCCCGTTGCCGGTCCCGGTCCGGTGCGGGCGCGACACTGAGGGTTGCGGTCCGTTGCCGGACACGAAAAAAGACAAAAAGGAAAAAAAAAAGAAGAAGAATATAAACGTTTAAAAGAGCTGCAGATTTCAGTCAAGGTTCCCACATTTATACTAATCTAGCCTTTTCACACATACACTAACGCCATCAAATTTAACAGCATATTAAGTAATGCAAAACACAATGGGAATCTTAACTTTTGAATTTCCTCACTTTTGAATTCTCAGCCTTAACCACTGCATTAAGGACATTTTTGGCAAAGCGGACCTTTACATCTTAACAGGTTATCAAATGAAGGAACATGCAAGCCTAGCAGTATTATTAGAAACACAAATGCATTTGAGATATGGCTATGTGAAATTAGACAAAAATTCACTTTCACTCAGTGCAAACAGCAAAGCCTCATTTCTGGGAGAAAGTTCCTTTGTAGAAAAAAAGAAAGAAAGAAAGGAAAGGAAAGGAAAAAGAAAAAAGAAAAAAAAACAAAAAACACTGAATATTTGAATTACTATCCAGTTAGCACCAGGCACACTATGCCTGCCTAGTAAAAGTACTTACCAATTTTGGGAAAACTGGCTCTCTTTCAGCTCTCTAGCCCCCTATAACAGAAGAAGGGGACAATGGAATTAGACTACAAACACAGACTTATGACATGTCATCAAAAGCTAAAGACTCAAAAATTTCTATCTGATTTTAACAAGAGAAAACCAAAATGCACAAGTCTCCAGTTTTAAAACTCAGAAGAAAAAAAAGAAACAGGTAGCTTTTACAGCAAAGAAAGAGCAAGAGCAGTTATGTCTTTACTTTTCCATAGTTTTCAAGACAAGGAAAAGTAAGCAGTTGATGTTTTTCCTTTCCTAAGAGACACACAGAAATGAAATGCGCCTCATCTAAATAACATACAACTACACTCTCATCCCCAACAAATGACCTCCACTGTTTGTTGCTTTATATTAACAAACAGAACTAACATCATGGGTCCTTAGTTTGGTCTACTTAAAAGGCCTTTTTCCAACTAATCTTGAAATGGATTTCCCTTATGTAAGGCTTTAAAATTCATAGCATTTTATAATAATGTATATGTAGAATTTAAATTAAACTTTTCATTCACATTCTTAAATATGCCTTGCCGCTTTAGACTGTAAACCACATACACAAAAGTGATTTTTTTTTTTCTATGCCACATATCTAATCAGTGATGAAGCCAAAAAGAAAAACCAAGGTTTTGGGATCCTGAAATAATACTAGGAAACAAAAATGAGAACTTTTCCCCTAATATTTTAGTATTAAATAATTTAAACACCATAGGCCATGATCCAAAACTCTAAGTTTTCTTCCTTATACTTTAAATATTGTGTTTGTTAACTGATATTACTCCAACAGTGTCTCATTTCCTCGGTATATTTCAAAAGATCTTTATGTCACCCAGACTATAAATTTTTGTTTAATCATGACAGTCACACTAAACACACAGTAAAATTATTTAAGGGCCCCAATTCATGCAGTTAGCATTCATTTCCAAAAGAAATTCAATTTGCTGTTCTATCCTGTGTATTCTTTAACATTAGTCCTTTTTAAAGTTCTCAGGTCCATCTAAATGACCATTCTGATCACCAAGATTAGAATGACTCCCAACCAAAAGAAAAATCATGCAAAAATCTATACAATGATGCAGTTATTAAAAAGTGGATTCCTAACACAACAGATATCTAAAAGACTCTGTATCACTCAAAATATGCCTAAAATGCTCAATAAATGTTTGTTAAGTCAATGAATTGACTGAATGGACACTTAAATTGTCTGTTGCTGGTTTATCTTCCCTATTAGGCCTTTCTTGTTAGCTCTTTCAGGCTGGGGATAATTTCCTATGCATCAATCTCCCACAGCATTATTTGTTAAATGAATGACTTTCTAAAATTGTTTTTATCCAAACTGTTGATTAGAGAGTAAAAATTACCATTTTAAAATATAATGAAAAGGAAAAGATTGATAAATTGGACTAAGTTAAAATTTAGAACTTCTGTTCATCAAAATACTCTATTATGAGAGTGAAAAAGCAAGCCACAGAATTAGAGATAATAACTGCAATGCATATAACCAACAAAGGCTTATTTCCGGAATATATAACATAATGCTGAAATGCAAAGGGATGAGGATGGGACTGGGATTTTAACTTATACAGCATTTGCAAAAGTACAATCATATCAACTCTTCTGAAAGGTCATATTCAGTAAAAAGGCAGCACAATGTACATGTATACCTCATCTCCAGGGCATTTTCTCCAAAAAACAGTAGCAGAACCAATCCTAAACTGATAAAGAATTTTACCGTGATTTCACGATATCATGAAACTGTTCATAAAACTGCCTGTGTAGACTGCAGAAACCACATAGGAAATCAAAGCCTGAGAGGTTAAGTGACTTCCCCAAAGGTCACAGCTAGTTGGTAGTGAAGCTGAAAAAGAGCTCACAGACCCTGAAACTCTTTTCACTGAGCTCACTTTTCCAGTAGACCTTACTTTCTCTTAACCAGGTGCAGCAGTTACTCTTCTAAGAAACAAACTATAATAAACACTGGCAAAATATTTTTGGAAAAGTCTGCATTTGAAGTTTTAAAGAGAAATCATGTAAGGTAGCTATCTAGGATAAGTTTTAAAAACCTGAAATCCTTTATGCCTAAGGGATTCCCATGAATGGGCTTCTGTCAGGAGGGGTCTGTCAACTCCATGATATTATATGGTAAATTCTGTATGTATGAGCAGAGATAAAGTTTTCTTAGAAGAGTGCCACAGCTTTAATCAGATTCACAAAGAGGTTCAGAGATACCAAAAACGAGTAAATTATTTTTAGACTAATGATTCTTAAACACTGTGCATCAGAATCCCCAAAGTGTTTCTACTGAAAACTTATCAATCTACTACCATTTGCGAATTGATAAAAGAGAAAAGCAAGCATTTTATTTCTATAATTCGATAAGACTGAGAAGTAAAAAGTAAAGTTTATATATAAATTTATACTTTTTACATTACCCATAAGCAAAAAGTATTTAAGTCTGAAATGCAAGTTTGATTTCTTTATGTTAAGCTGATAGAAAGTCCACGTAATTTCTCACATACCTTTCACAGTTGTAACCAAGGTAGTTCAAAAACTTCAACCATATTTGCTTAAGTTTTTGAAATATAGACTTGCTCTTGAAAAATACATTCAAAATACTTTAGAATAAATGAAATTATTTTTGCTTTAAAGATGATTATCATCTTGCTGACATAACTTCACATGATTTTGTGCAAACTGAAGATTGTTCACCTCTCCAGAACTTCACAGGTAGCTGCTTTCATTAGAGCTGGTAAAGGAACAAAGCATCCAGATTTGCAATATGGTTGTATATTTAAAATATTATAAATAAATCAAAGGTGATTAATAACCATTTCTTAAGTACCTTTTGTAAAATATCTAAAACCTTTGCATATGAAGAATCTATCTTGAACAATAAACAAATTTCGCAGAGAAAAAGTTTAACACTAGATCATGTTTTAAATTAGGCTAAAATTTATTTTGCCCCACTACAAATTTCAAATGATTAAGTTTATAGCCTGTGCTCAATCATAAATTTTGATAAGGAACTAGAATAGCACAGATAATTGTCATTTAAAGACACTTTAAAATGTCACCTTACCCAGAAGATTCAATATCTTCTCTTCTCCTACTACACCAAACTGACAGTAGTCCAATAACTAAAGTTGTACACACAATAAGATTTACTGCTTTTTATCTGCCCTTTCTAACTTCCAAAGGAAAGCACAGTAAGTTTGAAATAAACTTACATGCAGAATGCTTAGAAGAAAAAACAGAACACCCATTAATGGGTTATTCCTTTAGGCCCCAACATCATAACCACCCCTCTTGTCCTCATTCCTCGTACCCTCTCATGGACATCCTTCTGGTACTTCTTCCTTTATTCTCATGAAACATTAAATTTCTCCTCATTTAATCATTTTGTTCCTTGTATCTTAAAAAACAAAACAAAAAACTTCCCTTGACTGCATACCTTCTCTAGTTATTGTCCCATGTCTATGCTCCCATTTTTATAGCAAAACTCCCTGAAAGAGTAAACCATACTCACAGACTCTAATTCCTCTCCTCCCATTCTCCATTAGGGCTTTTGCCTCCCTCCATCCTTGTTAAGATCACCAATGACCTTCCTCCAGCTAAACCCAATAGTAAAGTCTCAATTCTCACTTCCTTATTCAATCATTATTATTGGACCAACCTGATCATTCCTTCCCTTCTTGAAACCCTTTCTTCCTTGAACACCAGGATACCAACTTCTCTTGATTTTCCTCCTAATCTCTCTGGCCACTCTTCTCTGTTTCTTTTGCTGGTTCCTCCTCATCTCCAAGACTTCAAAATGTCAAAGTGCCCCAGGGCTCCATTCTTGGAACACTTCCCCTTATAAGTGAAATCACGCAGTCTTACGGCAATTAAAGTATCTATACACTGGCAATTTCCAAATTTTTATCTCCAGCCCAGACCTTTCCCCTGAATCCCAAATTCATATACCCAACTGCCCACTCAATACTTGTCAAATAGGTATCTCAAGCTCAACAAGTCCAAAACTAAACTCCTGACTACTTATTCCCCCAAACTTCTCAGTCATTCCCATCTCAAATGGCAACTCCAGCCCTTCAGGCAAAAAATCTTAGAGTTAACAGAGATTCCTCTTCTTTTTCACATCTCACCTCCAATCCAATAGATAACCACGTTGCGTCTACCTTCAAAATATATCTACTTTGACCACCTGTCTCAACTCCAAGACCACCTCCTTGGTCAAAGTCACCATCATCTTTCACCTAGATGGTTGGAAAAGCCTCCTAACTGGACTCCGGGCTTCTACCCCAGTCCCACTACAGTTTATTCTCTCAGCAGCCAGAGTGATCTTTTCAAAATCTTTGACAGACCTTGTTACTCCCCTGCTCAAAATCCTCCAGTGGCTTCCCATCATACTCAGACAAAGATGAAGTTCTAAACAATGGCCCACAAAGCACTAAGTGATTTGGGTCTCTGCTACTCTCATCCCTCCCATCTCTCCTTTGCTCAATCTGCTCCAGCAACACTGGCCTCTTTTCTATACTTTAGAAACTCCAAGCAAGTTCCCTTCTCAGGGCTCTTCTACTTATTTTTCCCTCTGGCTGAAACATTCACTTCATCCAGATATCCTCATGGCTCACATCCTCAAAATATTTAGGAAAACTACAGCAGTTGCAAGAGTAGGAAAATACTAAAATAAAGACTAAACTTGTAATCATCAGAACTGTTCCCCTCCCCAAACTTTTACTCATGCTTTCTTATACCACAAATACCCTTTTACCTTCTAACTAACCAAATCTCACTTGGACATTAGGATCCAGATAAAGATTCACTGATTAATAAAGAACTTCCGTAACAATCCTAACTCCCAATTTCCCCTTCCTTTAAACTCCCAAAGTGTTTATCATTTTTCCCATTCATTTTAGAACTTAACCACATACTATCTCACATTGTAACCTATACAACTTATCTCCCTAACTAGACTATAACACATACACACACAAAAGAGTAGA